ATGTGTTCACATTACTTAAAATTTTCCTCATTGCTCTCACTATACATAAAAGAGCTACATGGTCTACCACCTGCTTTACTTACTCAGTGCTTGCTGTTCCTTTTTTTTAAAGTCAGCAGGCTTCTCTCAATGAGTTCTCCCATATGCAAAGGCACATTTCAAATCTCATTTCCTTGGGAGAAACATACTTCTAGATAGCATTTTTTGTCTTTTGGATGGCTTTCTCAAAATCTGTCCTCCAAGTTGACTTTTCATCATGATTTTCTTCATGTCCTCAGATTATAGCACAACTCTATGCAACTCTTAGGAAATGCCCTAAGTGAGTTCAATTCAAGGAATCATATTTTTAAATAAATGATACATTTTCCTAAACGATAAGGAATATAAATGTAATTATTTTACAGTTGTATGTGACAGATAACATAAAAGATTCACATGAACAATTAGCACATCAGTATTAATATTACACTTGCTTCATATTTAAAATCATTTTTATGTATTTTGTGAATTATTATCCAATTGAATATATTTTTCAAAATGTCATTGGAAAAACAGATTTTCCAAGAAAATAAAAGTAAAAAGAAAAGAGGACAGAATACTGGAAATGAATATCCATTCTGCTGATATTTTTGAGAGATAAAAAAAATGAACAATTTAGAAAAAGATTTGGAAGAAATAAAAGACAGCTCAACTTCCATCCCCTTCACTGATGAGTGTCTCGTCAGAACAAATTTCCTTTCTCAGAAACCAAAATCAAATTCTTAACATTAACTATATCTTTCATTACTGAATCTGTTTAAACATGTCCTAATTAATTAAGACTTTTACATCAAAACTACACATAAAACAAGAAAATAAGAAACATCTATTCTGTGACACTGTGACTCACATGTCACAGTGGGGTATTTCACAAGCATATCACATAAAAATAATGGAATTCCATAATATCCATATAATCAGCAGTATTTTGGTAAAAATGATATGGTAATACATTACACAGTATTAAGAGGAAAAGATTTTACATGAAATATGAAAAAGGGAGGAACAAGGTTAAGTAGTAAAACAAACTGTAGTCACAAGAGTGAAGCTAAAAAAAAATTACTGTAAAGCTCCAAGATCAAAGGCACAATTTACACAGACACAGAAACACACACACAATAATAATTAGAGAAGGCAGAGATGTTGGGGATGACTCCAGTGTGTCAAGCTTGAACAAGTTGAAGAAAAATGATGACGTTTATATAAACATGTGGGTGTGATGTTTTTGTCATTAACATTAAGCTGAATTGCTAAGACACATCTTTATAAAACTACTGGTTATCTCCTGGGAATAAAGATATGCTCATCACTGACTTATCAATAGCTGAGGATGGTAGTTCCTTGGCAGGAAAGCAAGCAAGTCAGAAATGAATACATTTTGATAATAATATTAATTAGCATTTATTGACGGACTGAAATGGAATTCTTTTTACATTTTAGAATGATTTTGAATAAATATGCAACCATTTCTTTATTTGAGCTTTACAGTGTGTATTTATTGGGCCTTAACTATATGAGGAATTCAGAACGTGTAACTGAAAGATTCTGTGATGGAAAATCATTTGCAAGGTCATGATTTCTTTTAATCTGCTCATAGCCAACAAGAAAGATGTTACTTGAATCTAGCTTAAAAGACATAAAGCCTCAATAAAGACTTATATGAAAAGAGTGATCTTGTAAAACAGAATAATATGAAAAACATGTTCTGAAGTAGCAAAGCAGTAAGAATATGCTGACAATTTTCTAGTTTTGTTGGAATATGACGTGTATATAGAAACAGGAGGTACATCTTAGTGGTAGAACTGTTGACTGCAGAGTGGACATAGAACAAAATAAATGGGTAACTTGGAACTACAACACAAAGGTCATGAATGCATAAATTAGCCATGATTAAATGAACACAAAGATGATGATGATATTAAAGTGATTATAATGGTGACTTGATAACAGTATACATGAGTATACAGCAGGCACAAATTGAAGCTATTTTCAGTCAAACATCTTCTGTAGAATGTCTAAATAAAATAGGTTAATTGCTCCGTATATCACCTGAGACATATAAATCAGTAATAATGCTGTTGAAGGATGGCTGAATATCTGCATTAGGAGACAAATTGTAGTTTATATTCACATATATCTATAATACAAGACATTTATAAGAAACAGATTAGCATGGGTGTTTGCAAAACAAGACAAGTTTATGATAGTAGTCATTGTTCATTCATTCTACTACAAAGAAGATTAAATTATTTATCATAGTACATAAGACCTACTAGACCTGCTTGGAGTCTTCCTCAAATCTCACACTACTCAAAACTCAGGTTTCTTCTCTTGAATATCACACTCAAACCAACCAAGCAACTAGCACTTTATAACTTAAAATTGTGTCCTGCATCAAGATTTTGTACTTATTATCTGTCAGAAATCTTTTATTGTTCAGTTTTAACTGTGATAAATTTTAGTTCATATAAACACGCACAGTCATCTGGAGAACTTAGTCAATAGATATCCCTCTTGTTACATCATCAGACTATCAACACACTAAGTAAGGAAACTCATCAATGTTTTAAGTATAAATTTGAAAATGATTATGTGCATTTGTAAATGAAGAAGGATCCAGTGATTCCAGGTTTGAGAATGTTTAATGAAGTTTCAACATTTTATTTGGATCTTGAGGAAAGACCAAACAAACTAAATAAAAGGATAAAACTATAGATGGATCTAGGATCAGTGAGTATCTGAAATCCTTATCAAAGCAAACTATATGAGACCTAAACACAGTCTTTGATGACACCTTTTCAATTAATTATTTGTTATTATTCTTCTCTCTAAAGTAATAATATTCACTAAAAATTTTATAATATATATTCATTAATAATATAACACTTTAGGTAAGAGGCCTTACTGTTCTCTTTTCTACTTGGAAAATCCAAAGTACAAATTTGATTTTATTACATGAAGGGCAAGTTACCAGCTAAGTTGGATTTAATTGCAGTTCTTTCTACCTATCACTTTGTCTCACTTCATCGAGGCATAAGTGAAATTTATAAGATTTCCTTTATCAAATCTCCAAATTGTAGCACTTTATCAACTCTCACATTTTCTCCTGAGATGTTCTCATTTTATTCCATAAATATCTATTGATATCTTGTTATATGGTGGATATTCAGCTAAGTACTAGAAATGATGATAAATGAGATGCACCACCTGCCTTTGAGGAGCTTATAATATTAAGATTGAAATATATTTTATGTGTCATGCATAGTTTTAGTTTAACTCAATTGTCTTGAATAAAATATTTGCTAGTCAATGATCACCAGCCTACAAACCAAACTGCCAGAAAAAGCTAGGAAACAAGGAGGTTCCTAAGAGAGACATACATGGTCCCCTGAGAAGGGGAAAGGAACAAGATCTCTTGAGAAAATTGGGACCATGGGGGGAAGGGAGAGGGAGTTAGGAGAACGATAATGGGAGAAGAAGAGGGGAGAGGAGGACATGAGGGAGCAGGGTAATTGAGTCAGGAGAAGAACAAAGGAGAACAAGAAAAGAGACATCATAATAGAGGGAACCATTGTGTGTGTTTAAAGAGAAATCTGGCACTAGAGAAATGTCCAGAGATCTACTAGGATGACCCCAACTAACAACCTAAGCAATAGTGGAGAGGCTACCTTAGATGTCCTTCCCCGATAATGAGATTGACAACTACCTTATATGCCATCCTAGAGCCTTCCTCCAGTAGCTGGTGAAAGCAGAAGCAGATACAGCTAAACACTGAGCTGAACCCCTGGAATCCAGTTACAGAAATGGAGGAGTAATAAGCAAAGGGACCAAGACCAAGCTGGAGAAACCCACAGAAACAGCTGACGTGAATAAAGAGGAGCTCATGAACCCCAGTCTGATAGCTGGGAAACCAGAATAGGACTTACCCAGACATCCTGAACTTTGGTGTTAGTTAGGAGGATTGGGCAGTCTAAGGGGCCTCTGGTAATGGATCAGTATTTATACCTAGTATACGAATGGACTTTAAGGGCGCATTCCAAATAAGTGATGCTCTTTCACCCTAGACACATGAGGGAAGGTCCAGGCACTGCTACAAATGATATGACCGACTTTGAGGGTCCCCCATTGAAGGCATCAATCTCCCTGTACAGCAGGGATGAGGGTTGTGGGAGGACAGTGATGGATGGAAGACTGAGGGAGCTGGGATTGACATATAAAATAAGCTTGTTTCAAAGTTAAAACATAAAAATTTGCTGCTCAAATATCCTGGAATATGGATAGAGAAGTTGTTCTGCAAGTTAGCAATGTTGTGATGAATGATGTATTCCAATGTAGTAGAACTCTATTGGGTCCTTCTGAAGACATGCTGTTTTTGGTTACTTGGTGTGTTGATATTGTTTGTTTTTTATTTTGTGGATTTGTGTGTGTGTGTGTGTGTGTGTGTGTGTATTTGAACACATCTTTATTCTGAAGTGATGAAAATGTATAATTTGTTTTACTTTTGTCAAATGAAAAAATTGTAAAAAAATTGAAAAGCAATGAAATGGGAACTCAAAAGGTTTGCTAAGAATGCTAAAAAAACAATCTAGTATATTATAGTTATTCCTAGAGAAAGTACATATTTGAAATTCAGATCAAAATGTTAGAAAACTAAACCAGAATGAAAGAAAAGATATATTTCAAACCATAATGTGTCTTGTTTACATTTTCATTTGCTTTTATAAAATATTGAAAGTCAGCTTTAGCTGTTTTCTGTCATTGCCAGCCCTCTCAAGCTAAAGTAAATTTTAAAACCAGCAATGTGTTTATCATGTCAAATATAAATGCATGATCTTGCTAATATTTTCCATCAGATAAAATTGTGTGTGGAAAAATTCAGCAACACATATACCTAGTATCCTGATAAGCCATGTATGTTTTGAGTAATCTCATGTAATGACATATAACCTTCTTTTCTACAGATTAACATTGACTTCAGTACCAGAGACCTCATCTCAAGAAATATTGGTGAACCAACTCCAAAATGCTTCGATGAGGCTCAGAAATTAATTTATAGTCTCATGGCCAAGGATTCATTTCCTCGATTTCTAAAGTCAGAAATTTATAAGAAACTGGTGAATAGCCAACAGGCTGGAAATCATAAAAGGTGGCTACCTTTCCTGTGAAGAAGGTAAATAACAGTACACTGAAGGAAGGCTACAATATTTAAAATGTACAAACAATACAAAACATTTCAGGGTTTGGAAAATGCTTTCACTTCAGCTAAATCCATGCACACACACATACACACAAACACACACACACATATCTATAATAAGTCACGCGTTACAAATTCAGTCAATTTTTTTCAAGTACTTTGGAAGTACATGAAGTACTATTGGAAGAATACAGAGTGAGTTCATTAAGATACATATGCTTTTCAAGCATAAGTGAATAATTTTATACATTATAGTTTCACAAAAAAATGTACATATCTTCATGTTACAGACTTGAAGACTGCTTAACATCTTATACAACATTTTAAGTACCATTTGCATTATTCAAAAACCTCATTTCTATAAAAAGAAATATTCTGAACCTAAAGATAATTTTTCATTTGCTGGATTCAATGATCCCTGTGAATTATAGCTGATAATGTGACAATTATCTGAACTACTATGGCTTTCAAATTAAAAAGAAAACTTAATGGATGGGTATATACTTATGCATAAGCCTGAGAGTTCCAGAGACCAAAGTCTTCAAAATATATTACTTGGCTCAACAATAGCCTTACATATACATGTATATGAAAAGGGCCTTGTGAGTGATGAACTTTATATTCTTTTACTAAGAGAATCAGAGAGGAGATTGGCATAATCAACTGCAAACAATGATTAATGTAGCAGCAACTATTGTTGCAGTATCATCTATTGCATTGTAGGTTAAGAATCTATTCACTCACCCAATGCTGGAATTTGCCCATGATATCCAAATAAAGTTTAAAATTTTCATTTTTCTAAATGATTTATTTATGCAGATGTGACAAAAAATAAATTATTTCCTGTATATGCAATGCTGTAATGATTTAACATATCATTGTATTTCCATTTTATATTTGCAGATTGATTTATGTTTATTGTCATTATTTATTTGAAACTGAAGGTTTTAAATGGAAGGACAACACCAGAGACTTATTTTGTTTCCATTAATTATTCATATGTTAGACAAAAATTTTGCCTCCTCCTCCTCATGAAATATCAACACATAAACACATGCAAATGGACTATTCCCCATGTACTTGTAAATTCGTTCAAGCCCAGCATAATATAAATGAACTGATATGTTTTGAAATTTTTGTCCATTAGTGTAAACTATCTATATTATAATAGCATTTACTCTAGAGGTTTTACCATCAGTATCTTTTTTTTATAATGGTATATTCTATTCATTCCAAGAATGTAAGGTATCCAGAAATTATAAAAAGTATACTCTTACTTACAAATAGAAAACAGAAAAAAAAAAAAAAACCTGAAAGCTCAGTTTTTTCTTGAGTTCACATATCTGGTGAGTAACAGAGTTGTAAGAGCAGTGGATGTCACCACCTTGTTATGGTGCTGCTTGATCCAAGAAAGCAGTGTAGCCCCTCCCCACTTGCACGGAAGTGTGGAATATAAACTCCTACAAATACTCCCACACTCTGGTAGATTGCCACAAATATTTGACTCGCTTTTACAATTAGTTTGCAACTTACTATCAAACAGCCAGTTTTATCATTGGCTTTAACAAAGTAAAGAATTCTCAAATTCCATATTCACCACCTTGAGACCATAAGAGCTTGGTATATTGTATAGCAATATACTGAGACCAGCATGATTTGTTTAAAGCTGGATGTTAAGTGAACTCTTATGAAATACTAACATAAGATTTGCCACTGAAGAACCCTCCTTCTACTACCTCTAGTCACTTTTCACCATGAGTTATAATTCTAGGATTTCCAATTAGAAAACAAATCAATGACAGGATTTTGAAATACTCAGTAATGGGAATTTTAGGAAAAATCATGAGTACCTCCTACATACATGATTCTGTTCATGACTATTTCACACTTCATGTTATCTTAGTCCATAGTTATCCTGAGTGATCCTATAAATGGAAAGGAAAAAAGAAAAGATTCCTTATAAATGTGAAAAATAATATAAGTATCTTGATTATAAAATTAAATGTTCAACAGTGTTGCAATGTCATTTTAAAATATTTCCATTGATTTAAAAAACTGAAGCTATCAAAATCTAAAATTAATTAATAGCAGGCTAATAAAATTATAAGATCACAAATGACTTCATAGCATAAGAGAATTCTTTGTATTGTTTTAGCTCTTGATTTTTCTTTCACCTTTTGAGATAATGTTTCTGTCCATGAGGCTAGCCTCAAACTCACAGTCTTCCTCTTTAATCTGTGACTACTGGGATTATAACTATGAGCCATCCCACCTATATATTTGCCCTTTTCTATTTTCTTATGAGTATGTTTCAGCAGGACAGATTTCCCATCAGTAGGTCAGACTGAAGAAAGTTAGATGATCTGTTTCCTAAAAGAATCTTGGACTCTAGCAATTTTCTTATGTGTTACAATAATCATAAACTTACTTTTAGCCTCTTTGAATTGTTTGCATAGGAAATATTAGTAATTTGATCAACACAGAATTATCTATTTGTAAAAATGTAGTTTCTTGTGTTTAAATAGTAAACATCTATTCCAAATTCAAGATGTAATCAGCAGACATTTTTCTGGCACTATCAAATTCTAAAACCTTTTGGGCATTACAACAAATATGATCTAATCTCCGGCATTACCTTCTCAAACTTGTTTTCAGCCTACTGTAGAGAGAAGGTATTCTATTACTTTACTTGTTTCATTTTCTCTGTAGTAGTTCTAATTTTGTGGTCTAGCCACTCCGTCATCCCATATGCTCTTGTAAAGGGTAAATGCTACTTAATAAAAGCAAAGGAATGTTCATTCTGTTTTCTTTACAATATGCTTTTAACAAAGATTAGCACCATTCTGGCTTTTTAAACAATAGTAACATTTAGGGCCACAACATTGAGAATAGTTGAGTTTTTTCCCATGAAATTTATGAGGAGTTCATGTCTGTTATCCTAGACTTGAAATTTAGACTAAATTTCCTCTTTATTCTGTATTGGCAAATTCCATGCTTCTCAACCAAAGACCTTCAGTAAAGAGCCTCTTTTACTTCTTCAACACATATCAGAAGTGTCAATTCTGTACCTCCCAATGTAACAATAAGAAAAGAAAACCTTACAACATTGTTCAGTACTCAGTGGAGGATACTTCCAGTCATGAAAGATATACAGTAACATAAGTGTAACATAAGCAGTCAGTTTGGATCACTACAGTAAAAATAAACATTTGTGGGGCTTGGGAGAACAGAATAAAATCTCTTTGAGAACTAAGCAGAATGCTTAGTATCATCATCACTAGTCTTCTGTCACTAGTCTTCACCCACACAAGCCTTAAATAGCTTTTGAATACAATTATGCCTAATATTGGTCTGTTTTACCTTCCAGCCATGTAGCAAAGCAAATTACTTCATGGTGTTGTTAATTAATTTAAAATAAACTCTTTTACAACTATGTAAAAAGGTGGGATGTTGTCAAAACTGTAATCAATTATTATGTATATAAAGAGCCACACACTATGTTCCTCTTTTTGTCAGATTTTTTTTCATTGCATCTTAAAAGGGAAGTATCAGGAATGAATGGTAAGTGGTAACTTCTTACAGAATGCCATTAAAGATAAAAGAAATGCATTTTTATAATTGCTATTTATAGATTGTATTAGAATACAGAATATATACATAATTACTTCTAATTTTAAGTGATTAGACACTGGAATGTTGTCAGTGAAACAAAGCCTGTTTATACTGTTTGTTATTAGTGCATATTAGCTGAACAAAGCACTGTGTTTCCCTGTGATTTTTTTTCAAACATATGTATAACATACCTTGATACCTTTACCCTCCACTGTCCTCTTACTACCACTTCTTCTTCCCAAAAATCCCCTTCTATTTTCACAAAAGATCTGCAATTTAAGAAACCTCATCACCTTTTTGTTCTTTTAATTGTGATTGGTTGTAAAACGTGTACATTGGTCCATGCTATTAATTCTACCACTATGACAGGAAGAGTTCAAGTTTGAGGATAGATTGTGTGTGTGTGTGTGTGTGTGTGTGTGTGTGTGTGTGTGCGCACGCGCGCGCGCGCGCCCATATATAAATTGCCAGATATATTGTAACAGAAAAAAAACCTAAAGACATTGAATCAGGTTTATTATGTTGTCATTAAATGTTTAGAATTGTAGTGATATTAAAGGTTTTGAATATTCCAAGAAATAAAAGTTTCATTTTGTATATATGTGAAAGGGTACATGTAAATGAATATGTGTATATGTTAGGTATCTTCCCTGATTATTTTCACGTAAATGTTTAAGAAGGGGATCTGTAATTGAAACCGACACTCTTCCGCTAACTGGACTGGCTGGCGCTGCTTCATTACCACCCCTGCACATGTAAATGATATGAAGCAACTGAGTGAGCTCCAGTCCTCATGCTCCTGTGTCAGGCAGATGCATGAACTGTGCCAACTCCACAGCCCTGAAAATTGTCCTATTCAATTCCATGTTTTTCTTACATAATTTAAGCATCTATTCTATTTTCAGAAGATTTTTTTGAAACATTTTGTTATTTAAAATGATATGGGTTCTTTGTTCAAATAACTCTACTTCTTTATGTATTTAGAAAAAGTGTAATACTTGAAACATTAATGTTGGAAATGATGATGACTTAGACAAAGACTTAATAAATGGCTGGTTCATTTAATAAAAACTAATAAAAACCATTAGTTTTCATAATTTAGGTAAATTTAATGCTTATATTTATGTCCTATAGTTGTCAATAATAGTATTATTTTTACAGTGTCCATACAGGCCTTTAAATAATAAATATTTTTGTGCCTAATGTCTTTAAATTACTGTTTTCATTCTGTTTTCCAAATATGTAAGGTTTATTCTATAAATACAATCCTGAATTTAAAATCATATGGAAATTTAGAAAATCATTGTTGTTAGAGAGGAAAAAATATGGCTTTAATATTAGTCATTCAAATATTTA